GGGGTCGGGTGGGTCTGCGGCCGGGGCGGGGCGGCAGCGCTCCGGGTCCGGCGCGCGGAGGGCGGGCGGGCGGCGCGGGGCGTTTCCGCGTCCCGCTGGGCGACGCCGTGTCCCGGGCGGGCGGAGGGCGGCGCGGAGCGGTGGCGCGGCCGGGCGGCCATGTCGCCTTTGTCTGCGGCGCGGGCGGCCCTGCGGGTGTACGCGGCGGGGGCCGCGGTGCTGGTGGCGCAGCTGCTGCGCCGCTGCCTCGGGGGCTTCGCGGAGCCAGGTCAGCGGGGCGCGGGGGCGGGGGTGACCTTGGGGTCCGCGGCGCGCGCTCAGGGGCGGCGGGTCGGGGCCGCGCAGCGGCGTCCCCCGCGCGCTCCTGCTCCTGGCGGCCGCGCGCTCGCGGTGTCCCCTGCGGGGGGCCGGGCGGGGGTCGTCCGAGGGGCCCACGTTCCCCGCGGCSGTGGCCCAGCCCCCGGGGCCCGTGTGCGCCCGACCTCGGGCGGCTCTGGTTGGCGCTCGGCGCCGGGGGTCTACTGGAGGCCGCGCGCCCCCTGCGTCCCGGGAGGGGAGGGCAGGAGCAGGGGGCGCCCCGAGCCCTCGGTCCCCCCGGGGAGGGGACCCGGGCCTTCCGGGAGGCGGAGCCGGCGGCGCAGCGGGCCGCGGGGAGGCTGCGGGGGGCGGCGCTTCCGCCGGCGCAACTTTGTTCCCGGGGCCTCCGGGGAGCGCCCGGGGGACGCGCAGCCTCCGCGCCTCYGCCTGCGAGGCCCGGGGGAGGCCGCGGGGTGTGTGCGCGCGCACCGGGCCTTGGCACGGCTCGGCGTGCGTGGGGGTCTGAGCCAGCGCCGGCGTCTTTGTAGGGACGGAGTCCCGGGGCGTGACAGGCCTGTGACAGGCCACCGAGATGCGGTGCCCCAGAGGACAGCTTCACTCTTAAAGCAAAATCACTCCCCGGCCTCAGGGCGCGAGCCTGCACCCTGGCGTCCCGCGGGCGGGTCCAGGTCTGCCTCCCCCCTTGGCCAACTGCGCTGGGCGCCCCTGCTACCCACACGGGGGCGGGCCGGGCTGGTGGCAGGCGCGTGTGGTTACGGAATGACTCGATTTCCCGAGTTGACACAGCCCCAGGGCCGCGCTCGGAAAGGCACAGCCRCGTGGGGCGCTCGGCCAGGCAACCCGGGGAAGGGTCCATTTGAATATCGCCTGGGGTCACCTTTCTGCTTGCTGATAAAGTGACTTTCAGTGTTTTTGAGCCATTTGGGAGTGACTGGAGAGGGTGGTGCAAGGAACTGGCCCTGGGAGGGAGCTGCGAGGCCAGGTTCCCTTTGCCAGGGGCAGTCCCTGGCGRGGCCCAGGTGCAGCCTGCCCGCCGGTGCTCGTCCGTGCAAGTTTTGCTTTGCGACAGCCGCGTCACCTGCGCGGGAATGCGCTCAGCGGAGCCGCAGCCTTGGACACAGAACTGGATTTCAGCTCAGTTGAGCTCAGCGAGGCTGCTGCCTGCCCGACACGGCCTCGGGGSACTTGGGCAGCTGCCATTTGGGCCACTGTGGGTCCCACCTGTGGATTAAAAAAAAAAAAAGTCGTTAAAAAAAAGCTCTCGGTGGACAGGAACCGGTGCCAATGGCCCTGGGACCTGGGAGGAAGGTCCCTTCACGTGCACCTTGATGGACAGTTTTTGCATTCTCCAAGTGTCGTCCTTCCCCTCCGGTCGCCTGGGCCATTATTGGAGCTGGCAGTGCAGGCSGGGCCTTGCCCTCTCTGCCTGAGGTCTCCATGTTCTGTCCCCGCTCAAAAATGTCACTTTGTTTCATTTTGTGCCGTGGATCCAGCTTCTGATTCGTTCTGAACGTGCAAAGCTTGACCTTTACCCTGAGCTTTGCAGGAGGATTGCAAACAAGCCGGGCTCTCAGAGTCTTTTTTTTTTTTTAATAAAGGGGCTGGATCCAGCTTGGGTTGTGCCCCTCGGTGTGGCTGGAGGGCACAGCGACCTGAGGGCGGGAAAGTCCACCCTGGAGTCTGACTGCAAGCCCGGCTCCACTGCCTTGTGCAAAAACAGACTAATTGCCAAGGAATGGCATTCCTGAGCTGGGAGGGGTTGGCGGGGCAAGTTAGGGTCTGTCCCCCACCTCCCGGAGGCCACATTGAAATGGCCCACACTCTAAGGAAGGCCTGGCCTGTCAATCACTTCGTAAGAGGAGGTGAATGATTGCATTTCCCGTAGCTCAAAGTGCACCGGATGCAGAGGTGTGGGGTGCAGGCCTGTCAATCACCGAACGTGACCCTGAGGGAAACAAAGTTCACACCCCGTATGCCAACGGCGTTTAATAAAGAGCCCGAAAGGCGGGGCTTTGTGAAAAATGCAGACCTTTTGTATAAGGTAAATATCTCCAAAAGTGGGAGAAAAGCCATTTTTTATGTTGCAGATGAGCAACTTTTAATGCTCATTTTTTTCTGTACTGCTTTTATTTCTATATTTTGCTTTTTTTTTTTTTTTTTTTTCAGTACTGGGCCGGAACCCAGGGCCTCAGGTTTGCAAAGCGACCCAGGGAGCGACCCCTGCAGACGAGTATTTTATTTTTCATGCACAGACAAAAAAAAATTATAAATATTTGCAGGATATAATGCTTATTAGTTTGAATTTTKGGTGCTGGGGTTTGACCTCAGGGGTGTGAACCCCTGAGCCACATCCCCAGACCTTTTTATTTTATTTTATTTTATTTAGAGACAGAGTCTCGCTTAAGTTGCTTAGGGCCTTGCTAAGTGGCTGAGGCTGGCCTCCAACTTGCCGTCCTCCTGCCCCAGCCTCCCGAGCCCCTGTGTCTTTCCCCTCCCTCCTTCTCTCCCTCCCTTTCTTCCTTTCCCACGTGATGGACAGCAGACCTTCCAGGGATATCTTTTTATACCCCTCCCTCTTTTGCCTGTAGGCAGTATTTATTGGTGCAGTTTCTTGACTTGGTTTTCAAGGTCACGGCGTCGCCAAGGAAATACTAGGGCTTTGCTTGGGTCTGGGGGACAGTATGTGGACAATGCAGCCCCTTGGCTCACACATGAGGAATCAGAAAAGGCAAGACCAGGGACCCTGAGACCAGCCTGGGAGCGCCTGGAGCCAACTGTACCTGCAGCTGGGAGCCCGCTCCACCCAGCTGCAGGGAAGGGGCTGCCGGGTCCCTGTGGCTGCAGGTTCTGGGGAACTGACAGGCGGCACCTGCAGGCGGGGTCCTTGGAAGCTGGGTCAAGGACAAGGGCGTGCTTCAGGCCCAGGGCCTGGGCCAGGTCCTATCTGTAACTGTGACACTTGCTGATGAGACATTCTCCAGCTCGCCTGTCAATCAAACAGGAGCAATAATGAGGGTAATGACCACAGTCCAATCCCACGCTGCCCAGCAGGCCTCAGGACCCTGTTCAGAATAATCATCATCACCCTGAAAATGACGGTATATAAGCCGGGCGCGGTGGCACACGCCTATCATCCTAGCAGCAGCGGAGGCTGAGGCAGGAGGATCATGAGTTCAAAGCCAGCCTCTGCCAAAGGGAGGCCAAAGCAGCTCAGGGAGACCCTGTCTCTCAATAAAATGCCAAATAGGGCTGGGGACGGGGCTCAGGGGTCGAGGGCCCCCGAGTTCAATCCCCAATACCCCCAAAACAAACAGAGAAACTCAAAATGACTATAAAATACTCCTCTAGGTACCAGGGCCTCTTTTGAACAAAAAAATAGTAAAAATAGCAGTAAAAATTAATAATAATGACAATAAACTTTCTGAGGATCTCTTTCAGCCTAATAATAATAACAAAATGTAGGAAACTTTCCTCCAAGTTCAKGACTTAAATAAGAGCAGTCACAACAATAAAAGTAAGAATGATCGAATGCAAAAACTTCCGTCCGGGTACCAGGCCTTCTTATTTCCAAATAATAACAAAAATAATAAATGATTTTTTKKGGGGGGGGTATCAGGGATGGAACCCAAGGGTGCTTCACCCCAGAACCCCGTCCCCAGCCCTTTTTATATTTTATTTAGAGACAGGGGTCTCCCCCCCAGTTGCTTCACGCCTTGCGAAGTTGCGGAGGCTGGCCTCCGACTTGCGATCCTCCGGGCCTTGGCCTCCGGAGACACTCGGATGCTTCGGCAATAAATAAATAAATCATAACAAATAATAAAGTCGATCACCAATATCGAATATGAAGAAAATGTCCTTCATGTTCTGCCCCCAGACCCAGGACGAGCCCTCCACGGACTCCCTCTGCAGAGACCTTGTTTGCACCTGAGGTCCGAGGCCCGGCTCCCTGGGTGGACCTGGTCTTGGGTTGGAGGTGGGCCCCCTGTGGCCTGCCCCGGGCCGTGGGGGACATTTCCTGGCTTGCGTCCTGGGTTCCGCGGTCCGCTTGGTGGTTTTGGCTTCAGTTCAGCGCTGACAGCTTGCGAGTGTCCCCAGCCCGTGTGTCTCTCTCTTTTAACTTATTTTTTTAATTTATTTTTAAACCGGGATTGAGCCCAGGGCCACTTAACCACGGAGCCAGCTGCGTCCCCAGCCGTTTGCATATTTATCATTTAGAGACGGTGGCGGCGGCGGCGTTGCTAAGTGGCTCCCAGCCTCGCTTTGGCTGAGGCCGGCTTGGAACTCGCCATCCTCCTGCCTGGGCCTCCTAGGGGTCCCCAGTCTCTCTTAAGAAAACCGAGCTGTGTTGGAGGTCCTTGCGCACAGAGGGGACCCTGGGTGACGGCTCCAAGGACCTGGGGATGTGGCTGTCTTGTGGATCATCCCATCTTCTGCTCCAAGAGCTCCTAGGTGTGCATGGGTGTCCCCAAGCACAGATGCACTTAGGCTGCTCCTGAGCCTGCGACGTTCACCGAGGGCCTCCAGTTCGTTTGGAAGCATGAAAAGTTGGGGTCCAACGCTTCTTGGCCAAACCCAGGACCCTGGTAGCCAAAGCCACATCCCGGTTTCCGCTTCTGGGCTTCCCAGCACTGACCTCTGTTGACCTTGGGGGCCGGTTGCTGYTCCCCGCGGGCCCTGAAGGGTGTGGGTCTCCACAGCGTCGTGCGCAAAGAACTCCCTCCTCATGGTGCACCCTCTGGGTCTTTGTCCCAAGGCTTTGGACAGGGACCTGGAGCCGGATGGGCTGCAGGGGAGACTGCAGTGACCCGAGCAGCGCCCCCTAGTGTCGGGCTCCCAGCTCTGCAAGAGAGCGAGGCGCGCGCGTGCGCGRTGCCTTTGATGGACGGCTGTGCTGCTCCGCGCATGCCCGCTGGGCCCTGCCCTGCGCCTGGCTGTGTCCCGGGGGCGCGG